CCCCCCCCCCCCTCAAAAGTTAAATGGTCGGCCCCTTAACGATGGGCAATAACGAGATGGGCCTGTAATTTTCCCCAGGTTCTTTGGAGTCCTTTTTGACTCACGGATGTTGCGAAGCAACATTACTTGAGTTAATTACTTGAGTGTGGGCTGAGTGTGCATGGGGCAGTTAAACGATGGGAAATACCAGCCTGCTTTGCGCGCACTGTTTTCCTGCGAGTGGGGCTGGAGCATGCGTTCGTTCCTTTGATTTGGCAAATGAAGCACGACAAATGGGTGAAATGGCAAATTCGCACGGTGCCCGATTTACAAAAACAGCAAACTGCAAACTGCTCTAAGTCTTTCTGTCACTTTCATTTGATCTTATCCGTGAGTCGGCCTCAACGGCCTTTGATTGTGTATTGGGACCACATCTGCCGATTTCCACTCGGCGGGAATAAAGCCAGATTGGAAAGAGATCTTGCATGAAAAGGCCACAAAGGCTTGGAGCGATTTGTTGGTGGCATTCTTTCAGGAGGCGCGTAGGAATACCGTCAGGTCTACTTGCTTTTGTTACGTCTAGATTCGCCAGGTGGTTAGAAACTTCTTCCTCGTCGAACGTTAATTCATGAAGTTGCAAGTCGGTTTTTAATTGAGAAGTAAGAATTAAAGAGTTCAGCTTTCTCGGTAGATGTTTTTGCCACTTTGCCGGCGTTGTGGGAAGTGATATGGTTTGGTCATTTGGAGCTGATTTATGATGAAAAACGGCTTTATGATAGTTCCAAAAAAGTTTTGGGTTATCGCGGAAAGAGTGCTTGATTTTAAGTAGGTAATCACGATGCTTTCTTCTTATTAGGTATTTTATGATTTGACTTAATTCTGCACGTATAGTTTCCGTTTGCGATAATCAGTTCGAGATTGCCGGTATTTCTTTAATGCTAAGTACTTCTTTCGAATATGAAATCTAACTTCTTTGTCAATCCAAGGAGGCGAGTTGCATGGTGTCTTTATAACCGTTTTTATTGGAATTAATTTATGTTTAGAAAAACAATCTTTCCATTAAGTTCTTTGTACGTTTGCATGGCGATAAAACATATAATAGTTTTGTTTGTGGAAACACCACGTAAATTTATAATCTTTCCATTGCATGCAACATTCGTTAGTATTGTCCGTCAAAACTGTTTCAAAAGGCTCATGAATTAAATAGCTACGAAGATCATCAAAGTTCCCACGATTATAATAAAAACATTACGTATCACTGGTTTAGCGCGACAGAACATGAAATTTGCTGAATTTGAAACTCAATGATATGATGATCCGTTGGAAAATTTAATTGTTCAGGCGAGAATGTTGAAATATTTTTGATAATCTCGGGGCAATTATAATAGCAGCAAATCAAGTATGTTACATCCGGTGTGGGGTGGACCTTTGATGAATTGTTGAAAGAACTTATCACCAACTAAGTCACAGAATGATCAAGAGAACCAGGACACAATGTAAGCAAAGACCTTTATACGTCAGTTTTAAACATTTAAGTTCATTGTTGAATATATATCTTACTCAGTATATTTGCTGGGCTGCCTATGGTTCTATTAACAACAAGATGTTTTCGTTTTCAAGGTCTCGTCGACGAGTATAGCATGTAAGTTGAGCTTTACGGCAACAAGCACACCACCACCGATCTTTCCCACTCTATCTCGACCGGTGGAAGATGGAGTATCCAGGTAACAGTTCACTACTTAATACAGATTCATTCAGCCATTTCTCACAGATGCAGATATTCATGACGTGACATGATGAGAGCGAGCGCCGCCAAGTTCTCCAATAGACCTTTCCCCTTTTGAGTGAAATTTTGATCTAGACAAGCCTGGACAAAAATTTCATCACAGCTTGAAAGAGCATCACAAAATTAGTAATATTCCGAAGTCTCGTTGCGAAATGTTGTAAAATGCGGATAATATAGCCTTGCGAAGTTTGCCGTTTTTCAGTCATTTTGCATTACAAACGGGAAATTGATAATCAGATGATCAAACACAAAATATTACCATTGCGTCAGAACTTATAGCAATACCTAATAGAATAGGCTGTCTTTGGATCTCTATACACGTGATACCATTGACATTGTGCGAAAATCAGCCTTCCCTTCCAAGTCTAACCACCGATATGGCCTTCAGTTCAACATCAAGAATAATAATTTACATCTATTACTGCGTATTCTACTTGCTGCATGGTGACATTGCAACAAATCAACTTGCACATCTAAACAACTTCCCATCAGATGCGCCACAATAAACACCAGAACTGCATGGCAGAAGTTTGAAAAGTAGTCACAAAGATGTGACTAGTGATTCAACGATCTATAACCTACAACGATTGCAATTAAGACTTCGTTTATGGAGAAAATCTGGATGTCGTATCTGTAAATGAGACATGGCTTAATGAAAACGTCAGTAACTCAGAGATTTTACACTCTGTTTCTGTATACCGTCTTCAGGAAAGGCAGTAGGAAGAAATGGCGGTGGGGTCTTGGTTGCCATGAAATTATTATTATTATTATTATAACGAATATTTACACAGGATATATACACTTCAGCACAATCGTGCTGTTATCAATGTGAGTCATGTTACGCCTTAAGAAATTATTAAAAACTACTACCACAGTAATTATAGACTAAAAAGATCCGATCACTCAGGGAAGTCCACGAGTCCATAAAATCCTGTCCATGTGAACGAGTAAAAAGAATCAAGTTCATTTTAAGGAATTCACTTTAAATATTGTTTCAGCAATCGTGAAAACTGCATCAAACCAAAACATTCTTTTGTCTTCTTGCTACCGACCACCTGCACGACACTGACTGAACTTGGGTGAACAAATTCAACACACTTCTGGATCAAGCTTGTGATAAGTTTGAAAAGTACTGATATCTGGTGACTTTAAACTATACCCAACATCACATGCGATTTACCATTCAACATATCAGGTGCGAATGAAGTGAAATTTGTTGAAATACTTGACGACCATTTCTTGACTCAAGTAAACACTACCCCAACTCGTGCCAACAAAATACTAAATTTTGTTA